GTTCCATTTCACTTACGACTTGTGCTGTACAGAATCCTGTAATTGACTTTTCTGATCTTATATTGCTCTTCAAAATATGTGGGAACTAGGCCATCCAGCTCCTTTGCTTTATCCATAGTTATACTTTGTCTAAATTTCCCTTTACTCTTTTACATATTTTCCACTTGACTTTCAACCCTCCAGAAGTATCTTTCCCACTGGATCAAGATGTACTAGGCATTAGAAATAAGACCAAAAAAAGCCCTTGATTGTCTTCCTACATGATTCCTGTAGGTAGGTTTTCTTTTTTAAAAAGATTTATTTATGCATATGGAACTGAGGTACAGGCCAGAGGTGCAGGGCAGTGAGAGGATTCACCAGAGTGTGGAACAGAACACGCAGATGGATGATGTACACTGCTGACGGGAGCAGCAGGAGGGTCAGGAGAGGTCTGCTGTGCCATGTGGGTCACCTCCGGGGGGTCAGGGATCCAACTTACACTGCATCCCAACCCGTTGTGCCACCAGGGATGGCCCCCATAGGTAGGTTTTCTCTAAGAGTCCCCTCCCCTTAAATCTGGTAATAGTTGGGAATCAAAGCTGTCTCTTACGCCTAAAGTATATTCCTCACAAGTAACCTAAGTCAATTGAGTAACAAAGCTGGAAAAATAATCTTACATATTTAGCCAGAAAAGGCAAATGCTCTCAGTTACACTGAAAGTAATCAAATTTGTACAGAGGTCTGTGTAGATGTTTTAAGATGAGAAGGAGTTCAAGGGCTCATGGATGAATTTAGGTTCATCCAAACACCTAGGGTGACAAAAGGAAGAAATTGATGCCAGAGTAAATGTGCACTATCCTCAGATCATTGATCTTTAATTTGAATGCCAAGGTGACTCATTCCAGGCTGCTGTAACAGAGCACCACAGTTTGTGGGACTTAAACAACAGAAATTCACTACCTCTCAGTCCTGGAGTCTAGAAGTTCTAGGTGTCAGCCAGTTGGTTCCTTCTGAAGTTTTGCTGTGGTTTTAAAGATTCATGCTAGTAATAAGAGTTCTACTAGCTATTTTTTTAAGGTTTGCTTTTCAAAAGTATTCATTGCTGTGTCTGCACAAGAACTTGTACATGGATGGTTGTAGCAGCATTATTTGTAATGGCCCTAAGGTGACGTCAACCCAAATGCCAATAACTGATAAATGAATAAACAAATTATGTACTCCCATAAATGGAATATTATTTAGCCATAAAAAGAATGGCGTCTACATATAAAAATTAAAAAAATAAAATGGAATGAAGTCCTGATGTGTGTTTTAACACACACTTGAAATGTTGTATTAAGTGACAGTAACTAGACTAAAAGGCTTTATGGTATGATTTTGATATGGAGTGTCTAGAATAGACAAAGCCTTTTACAGGAAGGACATTAGTAGTTTCCAAGATCTGAGGGTTGAGGAATAAAGAATGACTACTTATACAATAGGGTTTTTTGGGGGGTAATGATGAAAATATTCTGAAATTAGACTGACTGTCACACTAAAACACCAAGTAGTAAACCTTAAAAGAGAGAATTTTATTTGGATTGTTTCCAGGAAAAAAAAAAGATTTACCTATATGAGCAGGGTCCCTTTAATAGTTTTTTTTTTTTTTTTTTGGTACTTTGAAGGACATCTATATGCATCAGAATTTTAGGGGTATGTATTTCCCAGAGTGGGATTTGGGGTCCTTTTTTGCATTTCTCTTTTTTCTCCAAATTGTCTATATTAAATATTTTCTAACTTTACCATAAAAATACGTCTTCAGGGCCCTCCCTGGTGGCGCAGCGGGTTAAAACACAGCACTGACCCCTGAGCCTCTGGCCTGTACCCCAGTTCTGTATGCACAAATAAATAAATTTAAAAAAAAATGTCTTCAGAACTTGTTTTCAGTGTTGCTAACATAGCTGGAAAATGAAGAGCAATAACTGCTAACATTTATTGGGTGCTGACTCTGTGTTAAGCGCTGTGTGTTGTGCTTTGTTTGTTAAGAATTAATGTCTGTTTTGCAAATGTAAAAAGCAGGATTCTAAGATGCTAAATGGTGTGCTCAGCGGAGATATAACTAGTAAAGAGTGACTAGTAAAAATGACTCCGGTTGACTCAAAAGTTAGAGCACTTTACTGCCATATCATTATGCTTCCAAAGAGTTTGAGAACAAAATGAAGCCATTCTGAACTTATTAGCCACTGGGAAAATGGCTGTCAACTAATCTAACAAGAGCAAACAAAACAAACGCCCACATCATTTCCACGCATCTTTCCAGAAACACATCTGTTCTTGCAGGAGGATAGAGAAGAGTCATATTTACCTATAACCATTTTGTTCAGTAACTATTTCTCCATGATTGAGTTTAAAAAAGAGACAGATCTTGGCATTTCTTTTGGCACACAATTAAGTGATGACTGGGATGTCTAAAGGGCCATTGTAGTCTGGGAGAACAATGAAGTGTGTGAGGTTATTTACTACAGAGACATTAGGATGCTCAGCCTACATGTACCCAGCACAAAGAAAAGTGGGTATTTGATAGCTCTCCAGTTCCTCTGTCTGGGGAATCAGCCAAATGGAATCATCCAGACTCAAAACATACTTTGGGGTCTGAATTTTCTATTTCAGCTGTCTCCACTAATCAGATGAGTCAGATAAAGGAAGCGAGGAGCTCAGATGCTCCATCCATCAACTTCCTAGCCTGAATTTTGGAATTTGAAACTCCAGCTCAGAAGAAGGAAGAAGATTGGCTAGAAAGATGGCAAGAATTTGTTCTACTATCATGTATAAAGAGTCACCTGTATCTTTAAACCCAGGAAAGACAGAGGACTGTGGCCAAAACTGGTGCCTCAGAGAAACACCAATCACTGCAGCCATATTGACTTTTGACTTAAAATGTGAACTCTTAGTATAAACAGTAGCCTTCTCTCCCATACTCTTGCCAGCCTCTCCACACTCATCTCAACTGGTGTTCTCCTGCCTCCCTTTGCTTTCAACGTACCCGGTCAGCTTTCTCATAACCTGCTCTCCATCTCCAACAGCCATTCACAGATACTCATATTGCATGAAGTGATTTTTGTCCCTCCTGGTTCTCACTTACCCATGCTCAACTCTCACGTCTCTTCTTCCTGAAAGCCTTTCATGAGCTTCCACTACCCATCCTCTCCCCATCAGCTGGGTTAGTGCCTGCGTCGTGTGCTCAGGTAAGTCTATTTCTCCCCAGTCATATTCCTCATCACAGCATAGTGAAATCACAGGGAAAGAAAGGTCTCTGGTTTCCCAGTCTTTTTTTTTTATTATTATTTAAAGATTTATTTATTTATGCATAGAAGAACTGGGGTACAGGTCAGAGGTGCAAGGGGTGAGAGCATTCTCCAGAGACAGTGGGAACCAGAACAGGTGGATGTACTGAAATACACTGCTGAGGGGAGCAGTGAGCAGGACAGGAGAGGTCTGCTGTGTCCTGTGGGTCACCTCCCTGGCCGGAGATGGAACTCGTGCTGCAGTGGCTAGTGATATCTTCATAGTGCTGCACTCTAACCCTTTGTGCCACCAGGGAGGGCCTTGGTTTCCCGTTCTTTATATATTACCTCGATCGTGGCCTGTGCTCATTATACATCTGTTGAATGAATTAATAACATAAATGAATATAAGACAACTTTGATGCATCATTCCTTATCACTTACCAACAGTACAAAAAGAGGAAATATTTAAATGGGAGCAAGGGGAATTTCATTGTTATTTGACAAAAATTCTGTAAGCTTGAGTAACTAAGTATTAGTCTCGCTTTCTGAGGCATGGTGCCCTTTCCTTAGGAAATGTAAAATGTGAGAGGGGATGCTGCCAGAAGAAAGGACTGGCTCACATCTCCAGATCTATGGTGATCCTCCTTAGTCATGAATTTTTTTTTTTAAAGATCTATTTCACTTCTTTATGCATACAAGAGTTGGTGTGTAGTCCAAAGTTGCAGGAGTATATATGTGTGTGTGTGGACTCATGAGAGACAGAGTGGGGAGCAGAACTGGCAGAGTGACTGAAATGCACTGCTGAGGGGAGCAGCAGGTGAGACAAGAGAGGTTTGCTGCACCATGCAGGTCAGCTCCCTGGCCGGGGAACTAACTTGTGCTGCAGTTGCTGCAGATAGCTTCCTACTTCTGAAACTTAATCCCTTATGCCACCAGGGAGGCCCATTCATGAAATGGTTACCACATTTGGTTTCTGGCTGATACATTGAAGTGTCTTTTTTTTTAAATGACATTAATTTTTTTTTTAAGATTTATTTATTTATGCATGTAGAACTGGGGTATAGGCCAGAGATGCAGGGGTGGTGAGAGGATTCACCAGAGACAGAGTGGGGAGCAGAACAGGCAGATCAACAAAGTACACTGCTGAGGGGAGCAGAAGGTGAGACAGGAGACATGCTGTGTCATGTGGGTCATCTCAGGGGTCTGGGATCGAATACACACTGCTCTCATCCTCTCAATAGGCCTGTGGATCAGTTTGAGGTTTCAACATTTGGCTCTCTCCAAGGGTACTAGTAGTAGAAATCATATTAAGAATAAAGTTTACCGAACATTTATGTACCAGACCCTATGCATTATTGTGTGGTTCATGGCAATCTTGCATGACAGGTGTTACTATTTTAAATATGAAGAAACTGAAGCTCAGAAAGGTTGAATAATTTCTCGAAGGCAGTACAGCTAGTAAATGTCCAAAATGGAGAATGAGCTGCAATGATAGAAGAAGCATATTAATTTAAGTATGTTATATATAACATTACTTGTAAGTAATAGGAATATTAAGTAATCCAAGTATTTAGATTACTATGGGGATACTAGTATAATCCAAGATCCAGGAGAAAAGTCAGTCTCATGAAATGACAGCTGAGACCATTACTTCTTTTCTAGTCAGAAAATAGGTGACACACCCCTCAGAAAAATAACACTAATTTAAGTCTTCCCCCTGGTTCTTTGATTTAAAAGTTCTTGATTTTTTCAAAGGAATAGTACTCTGTAGGGAAGAAAGAGGCCAACAGCTCTGTTCAGTGAGAAGACTCAGTGGGCGCTGGTGTGCTTTGAGGCATCAGAAGAGACTTGACTCACCAAAGAATTTTTCTCATAAAGTATGTGTTCTGGGCACCAAGATTGCTTCAAGCTTGCTTGCTTATAGACACACATGCATGTATGCGTGTATATATTATGTTGAAGGACAAACCCTGCATGTGGCACAAACTAAATAACCCAAGAGGATCTAGAGTGAAAAGTAGCTAGGTGTCATTTCCTGGAATTGGCATCTGTCTCTAGTCCTGGGTGAGTCCTCCCAGATCTCTGCCTACACAAGCATGTGGGTGAAATGCGGGCTCCATGTGGAGAGGGTTCTCTGTTTTCAGAATACATCCAAATGCATCTTCTCCTTTCCGATTCACTCAGCACATAGCTTAGCTGCAGAAAGAGCTGTGTGAGGTGCCCTTCTTATTTGTGGCCTTCACAGCACACGTCCAGGCTCCTGAGATACTGGATGAGGTCTGGGCTTCTTTGCTCCCTCTGGAAGAAATGTGAATAGAAAATGCCACATTAAGTACTTAGTCATAAAAAATGAATAAAATGGAGGCCCTCTTTCCTAAGTTGGGATTTTTAACAAGTAGTGATCCTTGAATTCCCTTTCACAGCATGTCTCACCCCTCATCTGGACTCAGATGCCAGCTGCATGTGCCATGGTCCGAAGAAGGACCTGTGGGTCTCCCCTGGCAGATGCTGCCACTGTTTTAGCCTGAGGGCCCTCCAGGCAGCCCCTGGCAATATTTTTAATTCAACATCAAGCTTCAAGTTGGAATTTGAAAAAGAGGGGGAAAATGACAAGATGTCAGTGTCTCAGAACCTAGTAAGGAGGCCTGTAATGTACCCAGTCTGGATTGCTTTGTGCTCACTGAAAGTGACTGTACCCCATCACAGGGATCCTCAGGGATACTGGGGGAGGTCTGTGTCTTAAGGAGAGAGCTTTAGACCTGGTCAGAGAGCTTTTCAAACAGAGGCAGGTGGAAAGCCGGCCAGGGTAGATTCTTAAGTGCAAGGGGAAAGTTTGCAAAGCATTGTATATTGAAGGCTCATCTTTGGAAAGAAAATATGTTTGTGCAGTAAAAAGACTGAAAGGCTATATCCTGGAAATTCAGGAAGCTAAGATTGTATAATGTTTTAAAGGCCTTCTTTATATCTTTCTCTATTGACGGACTTTTATTTTTTGCAAAAACCTTGACAACCACAAACATGCTATCTATATAAAACCCGAGAGTGAGTAGGCTGCTGTTCCCTCAGGGAACAGACACCACAGACACCTGGAACAGAAAACAGCAAGTCCTTCGGTGTCCAGGCAGCTTGGGTCAGGGGTCCCAGCGGTGTGTGGGCCTGCAGTATACCCTGTGCGTGTGAGCAGGGTATAGTTAGGCCTACATCCTCACAGAGCATCACTGTTCAGCACTACTTGCTCGTCTCATCTGATCCCTCAGCATCTCAGGGAGGTATACAGAGCTGTGATGGGTATTCTCAGCTTGAATATCAAGAAAGCGGGGCTCGGACAAATTTCAGAGGTAAGCAGGAGACTGGCACTGAAGCCATGTCTTTAGACTTGAAGTCTGTAGCCTCCATGCTTTGAGTGTGCTTTGAGGAACAATCTTGTGAATGCCTGACTGTAGATTGCTCCGTGGGGTTGATCATGAAAAAAATTCTTCTCTAGAAGCAAAAGTGTAAACGGGGAACTCATCTGGGGACAAATGCTTCTGGGGGAAGGGCATTACCAACCCCCCATAGCTGCATGGCCAAATAATGTCTGAGGGTTGCTGAATGGTGCTGTGCTGACTGGCCTCCATCGAAGATTTTGTCGGATGTTAAGGGACCAAAATTTCAGCGGGGCTGTCTCTTGATGTGGATTTAGCTCTAGTGCCTGATATTGACTTACTCCAATGGGACACCCTTTGTTGATGAACCAAAGAATGAATGGACGTGGATGCATTTAGTTCAGGATCTGAGACCGGTTCTCACACTGTTCATTCCTGTGTCTCATCGCCCAGACCTGACACCCTGCTGCTGATGAGAACTTGGATCCGGAAATGAGTGGAATGGAGAGCAGAGGCAAGGGAAATGTGGAGAGCATAGGGAGTAAGTAAGTGAAGAGAGCGGTAGGTAATAAAATACAGCATGTAAAAAAAATTAATCCTTTTGCTCCCCTATGTCCTAGAAAAGGAAAGCAATTTCCCCTCAATTCTAGCTACTCTGAGCACTATCTATAAAAATAAAAAATGGGGACTGGAGTTGGTTGTTGTCATTTCAAATACAAATGGCCATGTACATTCAGCCTTTATGGCTAGATAACTTCCACTTCCAGTGCTCGGTATTTATTGGCTTTGACTTATTGATAGAACATCCTGGGGCCTGAAGTCCTCCTTCCCACAGAGCAAAGACACCATCAGCAACCGCTTTCTCCTCTCAACCCATGAATAATAATGTGGATGATGATGGTGGTGTTATTATTATCATTTGGTATTTAGCCAGCGTCTTTCCCCGAAGTACTTAAAGCACTTTATAGGCATTGCCTTATTATTCCTCACAATACCTCCCTGGAGATAGGACGAGAACAGAGATTTGATTTCCATTTCACTGAGAGGAGAAGCTAAGACCCAGAGCAATGAAAGGGCTGCTCCAAGGTCACCTGAGAAACGGGGTTGAGGTTAGGAGAAGAACCAAGGGCTCATAATGGCTGTTTAAGGGCGCCTTCCCACCCACCACAGGGAGAATGAGTCATTAGCTCATTCACTGAGTTGTAAGTATAATGGGACATTAAAAGGAAATTTTGGCTGAGGTACATTCTAAATTGAGGTGCTGGAACAAGATACAAACATTTTCAAAGTAGGTGACTGAGAACCCCCGCACTCACTTCAAGGGTATAAAAGGGCTGTTAGTGGAGATTAGAGGTTTTTCGATAGGGTTTCTTCACCTGAAAGGGTACTGTGGGGCAGCACCTCACCTCAAGCCTGAGAACAAGACTTTAGGGAGACCACTTAAAGAACTTGCAGTGAGTCTCCTGCTGTTCTTGGTATGTAGGGGACAGGTGAGAGCTGAATCTGAGAAAATTCTAAGAGCATGAGGTTTTATGGAGAGGCCTGTGGTGCCAAGTGATGACCTGAGACTTGGGAGATAATTGCTCTCCCAGAGCTTCACAGAGCAAATAAAGCAACAGGATTCTCCATGGTCAGATGCGAACAGTGTGCGAGAGAAAGGTAGTGTGAAGTCTTCGTAGATTCAGCCTAAGCCCACCACCAGAAGGTGCAGGGGGCCTTGGAGAAAGAAGCTGGAAGTAGAATCCAAGATAGCAGGAGGCTAAGGTGGAACCATGAGCCCCCGCCCCCCATGAACAGGAATGCAATTGTTCATGCCAAGAAAACTGAAGTGAGCCATCTACATAGATGAGTGTCTCCAAAGAACCCAAGAAAGTCCCTCAAAAGCAGAGTTGACTTCCCACTTGCACCAAGTCTAACGGTAGCTGTGTCAAGTGAGAGCTTACCTTTCCAGTTAGCTCTTCTTCCTCAGCCCCCACTCTCTGGGTTCCCATGCAGGAGTTAGGGAAAAGGGTGGAGAATTTGAGGTACTTACAGAGGCCCATTCCCCAACTCAGGCAGAAAGTAGGGAAGGAGGAGCAAACATTTAATTTTAAGCCAGATTGGGTTTATTATTATGATACATACTGACTGGGCACTTAATTACCAAATTGAGACCATATTAATTAAAGTGAATGAAAGTTACCTAAGAAAGAAGAGAAAAGTCATGAGACCTGACTTTTCATCCACTCTTCCCACAGGACAGATTTACAATGAGGGGCCAAATTAATGTAATGATTGCATTCCATGAGATGGAATGCACATAACCAATGCACAGGGCGGGGCTGTGCCAGGACACCAAAATGCTGCAAATTCATGATTACTAGTGAAATGCTGCCTTCTCCTCCTTAGTCACACATTTAAGGCCTTATTTTTCCAATCTAATCAAAAGCTGCATAATATGGGTCAACTCTCAGCACAAATGTTAGGCAGACTGAGCTGGGCTGGTTGAATTGTGTTTGCCATGGACTGGGTGGTTTGGATGCCATCCTATAACAGAAAAGTATGCAGTCAGAAAAGTACAATTGAGGAAAGTAAAATAAGGGCACTTGGCTACTGCAGGTATCCATTTAAGTTGCCCGTGATAAAAATATATGTTACTAGCCAGTCCATATCCTATGGAATTTCACTGAGTCCTCATACAACTCTATGAGGTAGTCTCTAATACATCTTGTTTTTTTTTTTTTTTATTGGCTTAAGCAATTTGAGGCTTAGAGAGGTTATATAACTTAACAAAGTTCACACAACTATTGCAGGGATGATGGTAAAAACCAAAAAATAGATCTGAAAAACTACCCTCACTGAATTCTACTGCCAGTCTTCCTTATGTATCATTCTTGTGCTAACCTAGTGTGATATTAGTGCATGCCTTTTCTGTTTTACCCAATTTATTGTGTAAGTATTTTGCATTCAGGGGCCATGACCATCCCATCTCTATGTCTTTGTGGGGCCTGGCTCAAGAGCATGTGCTAGATCTAAACCCAAACTAAATGTTGAATCTGTTCACTCCCCTGCAACTCCAGTTCAGGCTGCTAACATTTCCCCTGAAGAGCTATACATCAACTTCTGAGTGTCTCTGCTTCTACCTGTGGCACCATCAAGGTCCACAGTACAACTGCAATGATCTTTTTGTACCATGAATAATATTTTGAAAATATTTAAACCAGTGTTTCATTCTTTTTTTTTTTTTTAAAGATCCATTTTTACTTGTGCATACAGAACTGGGGTACAGGCCAGAGGCTCAGGGGCGGTGAGAGGCTTCACCAGAGACAGAGTGGGGAACAGAACAGGCAGATCGAGGAAGTACACTGCTGAGGGGAGCAGCGGGCGGGCCAGGAGAGGTCTGCCACGCCATGGGGATCGAACTCATGCAGAAGTGGCCTTAGACCCTCAGTGCCGTTCTCCAACCCGCTGCGCCACCAGGGAGGGCCAGTGTTTCATTCTTTTTCCCATAAGGAAGCATCTCACATAGGTCATCGGCTACTGTCAGCTGTGGAAGGGGTGAGTGCTGATGTCACTCATAGAGGAAGGGAAGGAAGTGGGAAGTCCACATCAGAGGAGAGGAAGTCAACCCCTTCCTCTGCATGGGCTGAGAGGAGAAATTGGGAGTGTAGTGAAGTAGGAGTGCCTGATCTCCCCTGGCAGATAGATGACAAAGAGACGCTGATCTTGCTCCCTGATTCTGATTTGGTCCAAAGGAGGGGACCACGTGGTAGGGGACCACCTAGCTAATGTGGAACAGCCAGGTCGGGATAAACTGGAGGCATGGTAGAAGAGCTAAATCGCTGAAAATCTAGCCTTGGCCCTGTACAGTATGAGAAGTGTCTGGAGGTTCCCACTTGGCTGTGGAGGGACGTCATGTCGCTGTTTGGAAAGCCCACACCAGGTGTAATGAGAGCCAAAGTCAGCTCAGTTGGACAGCAGCAGCAAGGTCAGGTAGGGATCAGTCAGCTGGATTGGGGTACTGTGGATGGGGAGCCCTCCTAGGGAGTCGCAATGCTTACCTGCACCTGGAAGCAGGAGAGCAAAGCGCTTTCCTGCTGCAGGAGCAGGGAGGACCCAAGATCTCACAGGACACCTGAGTCAGTCCAAAGCTCACTTCCCACCATGAGGATTTGTGTGCAAGCTCCCCCTCCCCAGGGGCCATTGTGGAGAGAAAAAAGGCTAATAATGCCTTACAGAATTTTCTGAAACTGAGAGAATAGTGAAAAGTCAAGTTCTTGCTCCAATTAGGAAAAGTTTAAAGGGTGAAAGGCAGGAAAGAGACTGCATTTTCTTTGCATACCTAAATGCAGTTGAGTAAGTCGTCCAATTGCAAGTAAAATAAATCTGACTCTTTACCAGGCCTACACAACTCAGCAGCATCGAGGCCGCATCACACTCCGCAACCTCATCTCTGACCTGGAGTCAGTACTTGGAGCTTGTGAACCTTTCCCTAGGGGCTTACATTTGCTGTCTGCTCTCCCTGGCATCCTCTTTTGCCACATTCTCACAACTGGACTTTCCGTCTCTGCAGGTCTCAGCTTAAACATCAACTCCCCAGCAGTCCTTCTTGCTTAGCTAGTCTAACATGTCTCTCTCCCTTGTATGTTATCCTCTGTCTGGGTCCTCTGTTTCCTTTAGAGCAATTTGGAATTATTTTGTGTTTATTCATTTACTCATTCACTGCATGACTCCTCATTTAAATTCTAAGCTCCCTGAGGATTGTTTTACTAATAAGTATCTGTGGAAGGGAGGGAGGGAGCAAATTTCATTAACGGATATCTCCAGTGAATGGAACGGCCTAGTGGTTCTCATATTCTTGAACTCCGTAGCAGGTGCTATCACCCCACCTCAGTTCCCTACCAGGTCAGTGCGCCATTTCCACAGTTGCTGTAGATGCTGGCTACTCTGTTTCACTTCCCTGTATTCCCAAAACGGCTATTCCAGGTTGCAGAGACCTCCAGGTGGATGCTTGGAAGGTGACAACCCACCCCAAGGGCAATCAGTGGATGGCATTTAATGACTCAAAGGAGGAGCGCAACATCCCAGCCCCTTTACCTGCCGGGACAACCTCTGAGATGTAACTCATGTGGAGCTCCGGGGGTGCAGGTCTCCACGATATTTCTTCCCAGTTCTTTCACTTGGTCTGTCCTACTTTTCTCGTCCCTGCCCCTTCCCCATTTCTTCTGAGGCTGCTCCCTCAATAAATCACTTTTACCAGGACTCCCACCTCAATCCCTTCAGGAACCTGACCTTAGACTGGCCGTTTCATGACAACTAGTTGGCCGTGGGAGATGGTGAGCAGTGGGTAGAGTTGACGCAGGGGCCAGAGCATTATCAGCTTCCCCTTCCCTGTCTTTCCCACCCTGATTCAGCCAAGCGGGTGCCATGGACATGCCACTCACAGCACCATCAATTATTGAAGATGCTCCAAAGGAGGGAACGCAAACGAAGATGAAAGATTCCCATGGAAGACAGACAGGTCTCACTGCTCAGGGAGGACCTGAGCTATCATGTCTGGGAAAAA